GGATTGGGCTGGAGGAGCTCCTAGGTGCCTTGAGCATTCAGGCTTGATCATATTGCAGCCCACGGTTTGGGGAGCTCACCAGGGCCTGGGCCTTGTGCCTCTGGCTCTAGCCTCCTAAAAGGCCTTCCCTTGACACGACATCAGAGTAGAAAGCCCCCTGGTCCTTGGGTCCAAAGTGGCCACTCTTCCCCTACTTCACTGAATTCCTAGGGTGAATGGGGAGCATTTTGTAACAGTCAGAAATATGATAGAACTGTTAACATTTTAAAAGAAGATGGAAGACTGTTCTATACTCTATCTAAGGTAAACAAAAATCCACATTATTTAAACCAGATAGAAAAGAAAAACAAAGGAAAATGAGCATATTTCAAAATAAAAGTCCCCATCTCTTGCTATTTTTTAGAGGCTATACCTCCTAAATGCGTCTCTACTTTTCTCTCTCTTTCTCTCCTTCTCCTTCCCTCCCTCTCTCATTCCCTTTCCTTCTCATTTCTCCTCTGCTTCCCAGCACTCCTTTTTCCCCAGAGGCACTGGCTAGAATTATAGATGTCCCAGAGTAAGGAGAAATTACCATTCCCTGGTGAGAATGAAGATTCAGCACCTCGGTCAGCACACTGCCCCTCCCCCAGCCTCATCCCACTCCTTTCTGTCTGCACAGGGTCCTTTGCAACTTACGTTCTGGTGGAGCATGTGGGGAGAGTGAATAGAGCCAAGACTCAGACAGGAGGGGAATGAAGCCAGGAATGCTGCCCAGGTGTGAGCAGTCAGCCTCCTGGGATGGCCTCTCTGGCAGGAGGGAAGGCCCATCCCCAGAGCCTCTGAGCTGAGACTGTGCTGCCAGGAGACCTTATCTCTGTTGTTTTTGTTCCTGCTGCCACCCCAGAAAGACTCAGAGCTGATGGCCTTGTTAGGTGCTGAGTGGGCCAAGCCCTGGGACCAACATAAGACTTGCAGGATCCTGGACCATCAGAACCACTGCCTTGGCAATCAGTTAGCTAGAATCTGAACCCCTCCTTGATAGAAATCGGGAAACAGGTCCAGAAAGGGAGAGAGACCCGCTCCGGGTCACACAGTGCCTTCACAAGTTCACCTCTGATCTGGGAGGTACATAAGGTGGAGTCTATGGGTGAAACTTAACTCACAATTGCATAATTCAATGGTGTGGAGTCTGGGTTAAGTTCCCGCCTTGAATCCCATGGGGATCACAATTCTAGTGGCTGCTGCCTGTCACTGAAGCTGTTGTCAAAGTTGAGAAACATTTCCAGGGAGGCCAGTGAAGAGCTGGGCTTTAGCCTTGGACAGGCCTGAGTCTGATTTCCAGCTTTACTGAGTACTGGCTAAGGGTCCCCTGGGAAGTAGTGTTTCCCTGCTCAAATTCTGAGATAATGATACTGACTTCATGGGCTTATTTCAATGTTAGATAAGGTGCAAAAAGTCCCCCTGCTTCGCTTGCTGACCATGAACATGGTTGTGAGTGGGGTTTTTGTCATTCTATCAAGTCTTTCCTGCCCTGGGGAAGATCCTTGCTGATCCCTGCTTCCACCCCAAGGCTGGACTGCCTTTGTCTCCCCTCTTCACTTACCTGTATTAAATGTGGGGTTCCTGGTGTTATACTGACAACCACAAATTTTTTCATTCAGGAAGTCTCTGGACACTTCATACCTCTTGGAGGTCCCCTGATTTCCCAGAGTCCCCAGTTGGGTGTTCAGATTAGATCCCTGCACTCCCAGACACTCGGAAGCCAGGCATGAAGATGGGGCAGCAAGCAGCCTTTCTGGGACAAGGTGCTGAGCCTGAGTGGGGGAAGGGGAAGGAAGGACCGTGGACAGGGTACTCCTCCTCCAGGGGACAGATGCCCTGAGCAAAATAGAGGAGTGTGGCTTGGGAGGAGTCACAGCGATCTGAAAGTATGGTGCAAGGGGGTTATGGGGTTCTCTAGTCCCAGGTTCACTCCCTACAGCTTCTCTGTAAACTGGGGCGCTGTCAACCATTCAGACACCTGTCCTTCTGCACTCTCCAACAGCCCCTCCTCCTCCTCACTCATGTCCATCTTCCAAGAACTGCAAACAAGTAGTGACTTGGATAGTTCCCTCTCTCTTTCCTCCCCGCCTCCAGGTATAGGTGAAGATCTAAACCTGGCGCCTTAGAGAACACCCGGTCTAACCTCCCTCATTCTGTAGGTGAGGAGCTGGAGGAAAGGACCCTCAGGGTACAAAACAAGTCAGCACAGAACTAAGACTAGGCCCAGGAGTCCTGCTTCCAAGGCTGCACTGCACAGCTCTAGGGGGCCCCAGCAGCCTGTCTCCTTAGTGTACACACCTGTGCGTCCACATGCCGGGCCTTGACTCCTGGCCAGGTGGAGGTGGGATGGACCTCCTTTGACACAGAGAACCTGGGGAACTGCCTGGCCTGGGTGGTCCCACACCCCCTCACAAGGCACAAGAAGACTCCTTAGGAGCAGAGCCAGCCCAGAGGTTGAGAAAACCCACCCAGTTCTAGGCACTGACTCTGGGAGGCAGCTGGAGTGACAGGCAGGCCCTCCCTAAATGCACGGCACTTTGCAGTTTATAACAAATCATGTGAGATTGCTGTGATTATCCCCATTTTCCAGGTGAGAAAACTGAGGTCCAGAGAAGTTAATTCATTTTTCTAGGGGCACACAGTGACAGAGCCTGGATTTAAGCCTAGGTCTGTGGGGTTCTAGGGCCCAGTCTCTTGCCACTGTCTCATGAGCTCCTCTCTGCTTCCAAGGCTACCACCATGCCCTCCTCCAGGCCAAGGCTGACAGTCTTCCCTGACTGGTAAGTTGTGCTGTGAGTGCCTTGGGCTCAATTCTAAATCCACTTAGTGCAGGATGTGGGACTGTAGGCAAGTCATGTCCTCTCTATGAACCTCATTTTCCCCCTCTGTAAAATGGGCATGGTGCTACTCAGCAGGGTTGCTTTGTGGATTATCCATGTTGATTTATGTATGCTGCTTGGGCCAGGATAGATGGGCCTCTGTGTGTGTCAAAATGAATGGCACTGACCACTCACAGCCTGTAACTTTAATTTAATACAAATTCATCATAACTCACAAAATGGGTAACATTTAAAATAAAAATACTGCTGGGGGTTGCCCAGATTCTGGTAGCTGAATGGGTGGGGTGAGACTGAGGATTCCTCCTGCCCAAAGGAGGACCCCATGGGCAGCAGTTGTGAGGTGGGAGCCCCCCAGGTTCAGCTAGTCTGGCTCCTTCAAGATGGGTATGATCAAAGACCCCAAGTTCAGAATCTAGGCCCCAGAACTAGAAAGGAAAGCCTAGGGTGGGAGGCTTTCAGTTTGGTTCTGCAGGCTCACTCTAGGGGCGCCTGTCCTGGACAGGGACACAGCCTTGGAGCAGGACACTTAGAGGCTCTGCTGCCTCAAAGCCAAGGCCTAGAGGTGGATTCCAACAGCAAAAACTGAAAGTGAGCTTGTTCAACACACATTCTCACTTTCTTGTATTGTGCCATTTTGTATGGATGAGGCTGGAAAGAAGAAAAGTACATTTCCCAGACTCCCTTGCAGCCAAGGTTCTGGATCTGATTTATGTTTCCCCAAACAGAATCCCTTGTAGAGATCTGGATCTGGAAACCGAATTGCCTGGAGAGAGGCAGCCCTCAGGACATCATTTACTGGCATGGACAGTAGCAGAGACTGCACAGTTCTGCAGCCAGCGGCTTCTGAGCAGTGGCTGCCTGCCGATGGGAGCAACATTCCTGGTCATAGCAGACGTGATGAATTTGGCGGCTGGGAGCTGTTCCTGGAAATTCAGCAGAGTCGGCTCCTCCAGCCCTTGCAGTCATTTTGCAAAGCCACTAGGGACCTGGTAATAAATCTTTGTCTAATTAAAAAAAGCTAAAGCAGCTCATGTTTTCTGCAATAGTATCCCAACCGAGACAGAGGCCAAGATTGATGGGGGTGGGGTGGCCAAGCCAACAGCCCACCCCAGTGCTCAGGGCCTAAACAACTGCTCTCCCCAGCCTCACTACACCCTCACCAGGTCAAGAGGCCTGGTTGGACCTTAGTTCAGAGCAGCTGGGGACCTCCACCATCCAGTGATGCTTGTCCGACATGAGCCTTGGTGTATGCCATCCTCTTGCCTTAAGACCCGTGGGATTAGCTGGCTGAAATATGTGGCCTCAACTACTGGGTGCCTTCCACAGGCCACAGCATCATTTTTGTTGCTGTTTAGTCACTAAGTCATGTCCAACTCTTTTGCGACTGTAGCCCACCAGGCTCCTCTGTCCATAGGATTCCCCAGGCAAGAATATTGGAGTGGGTTGCCATTTCCTTCTCCAGGGGAATCTTCCCAACCCAGGGATCAAACCCACATCTCCTGCATTGCAGGTGGATTCTTTACCACTGAGCTGCCAGGGAAGCCCAATATCATTTTTACCCACAGATAAATGGGAAAATCAGGAGCTATAAAACTCTTGGTACAGGGGTGGAAGGAGAGGGGGGTTCTCAGGCAACTTTGGGACTAGCTACCACCTGTGTCCACCATGGGTTGTGATCAAGGACAAAACGGCCCATCACTAGCTTGGTCAGGGGCAAGTCTCAGGCCTGGGAGCATAGGAGGGTTCTCTCTGCAGTTGCCAGCTGCTGGCAACACATCGACACATCCTGAGGTCAGGGCATGGGGGCGGGAAAGAGACACAAGGATGCAGTCCCCTGCCCGCCAGAGGAGGATGAGGGATTAGGCGGGGGCTGCCATGAGGAGAAACTTCGTCTGGTTCTTGGACCACAACTGCATCCCCATCAAGGTCAGAGCTACAGAACCTCAGTGCTGGAAGAGATTTTCGGAGTCATGGAGCACAACCTCCATTTCACAGATGGGGAAATGAGGCTGAAGGGTAAACAACAGGCCTGAGATCTCAGGGGTGGCCCCACTGAGTTGGAGTACAGGCTTCCTGTCTGTGGGGGCAGGGCTCTTGCTGGTGACCAAGCCCAGGCGCCCACTGTCGCCCTCCACCGCACTAGATGCGGACGGTGTTGATCCGCAGCGGCTGCACGTTCTTGCCATTGGCGTGGCTCTGCCCGGGGCTGAAGTAGGAGCAGAGCTTGCCCGGGAACTTCTCGCGGAAGGTGTAGAGCCAAGACATGTCGTCGGCGTTGTAGAAGATGAGCAGGCCTTGGTCATAGTCCAGGAAGACGCCCACCTTGTCGAGCTTGTCGCGGACGTTGAGCCGCGTCCAGGGCTCCGTGCAGGCGCTGTACTGGTTGCCGTCGTGCATGACGATGCAGTAGAAGCCGCGGCTGGGCTGGATCTGGATGCTGCCCTTGCGGCTTGCGGCCTCGTGCGCCAGCCCGATCACCCACTGGGTCTTCTCTGCCACCACCACCTCCCAGTAGTGGACGCCGCTACTGAAGGCCTCCGAACCCAGCACCGACACCTCCACGTCGAAGCGCTTGGGCGAGTCCTGCAGCGGCTGTGGGTGCAGGTTGCCATAGGCCACGATGGTGCAGTCGTCGGACAGAATCAGGCGCTGGTGGGCGGTGCCTGGATCCAGGGTCAGGGCGGCTGGCACTGCGGGGATGCGGGAGGAAGAGATGAGTGGAGAGAAGGCTGTGGACCCATTCTATGGTGCCTCCCTGAGGCCAGGTTCTGGTCTGCCCCCAGGAGGCTGTGTGATGCTGAATACATCACAGCTTCTTCCTTTGTAAAACGGGAAGGTGACAGGTAAGAGCCTTTTGGACTGAAACTCGGTTGTAGGGGACAAGAGCTATGGCAGCTTGTTCACTGATGATTTCCCAGGGGCAAGGCTCACAGTGGGTACTTTGCAAAAATTTGCTGAGTAAACCTGAATGAGGCCCAGAATTGGATGATTTCAGAGCTGGGAGGGAGCTTAAAGATTCTTCAGGTGCTGGATAATCACCCTATGGAGTAATCTGGAAACTTGTGGGGGTATTTGAGTTGTCTCCATAGGTAGGATCCAGGGATGCTAAACACCCTGAATGAAATGTGCAGGTGGTCCCATGTCCCCCACCAATAAGCTTCAGATGCTCCCCCAGACATTCATGTGGATGAAAAAATCTTTACAATGACCCAGAACTACAGTTTGACTCCATTTTACACATAAATATGAGATAACTTTTGTACAGTTTTAATATATTCTGAATATATTGAAATGCAGCTACCCTGTAAACTGGGGGAAGACCGAATTTGTTTTGTCTGGAACTTCACTAAGAATTGTTCGCTTTTTTTTGAAAGTACATCTCTAAGAAGAACACCACTGACCAAGATAGCCAACCTATTTTGACTGCATTTGAGGCAGAATGGTGTTTTACCTATGGTGTGAGCACCTGACTCATTAATTATGTTTTCTGGGGTGGTTGTGAGTGAGCATCTACATATTGACATATACAATATTTTATTATAAATACTTTCCTTTTATTTTTTTCCTTTATATATATCATAGATTATATACATATATATGGGTGCGTATATACTTGAAATTGTGAGAAGGTCATGCTAATTTTGAGTCATTGCAAATTACTTGTTATGAAAAGTATATGATGGGTCTGAAAAAGTTGAAAACCACTGACTCTAGGCCAATTCTCCCATTTGACAGATGGGGAAACTGAGACCCAGAGAGGAGACTTGACTAGTCTCAGGTCACAAACAAACACTGGCAGAGCCGGGACTAATCAAGACCAGGTGCAATCCAGCCCCAACCTTCTCTTCCTGCCTACCTCTCACTCACCACCTCCCATTTCAGTCAGGCCCAAACCTTCACCCAGACTTTTTCCTCCTCCACCTCACCTCTGCTTCTTGTAATCATCCCTATGAGGCTCAATTCCAGCGCCCATCCTCAGGAAACCCTTCCTGGCTGCTTCCTCTGAAATTTCTCAACTCTGTTTGTGCCTCTCTCCCTGGGATAGTCCTCTGTGTCCATAACTTATCATGTACACCAGGAGGCAAGGACTACGTGCTCTCCCACTAGGTTCTCCCTGGCGTGCCCTGTGCCCAGCATCTACATACTGACATATACAATCTTCCCCACAGCCTGGTGTGGGGAAGGTTTCCAGAAAGGCTCACCAAATCTAACTGGCCCCGCCTGTGCTGGTCTTTGGGCAGGCTGGGGCGCCCAGCTCTGAGGTGGCCACACTGACTTCGCAGGCTTGGCTCTCAAAGTCTCATGAACTCTTGTCAAGGGCTCTGTTCACTCTTGCCCCCCTGAAGGAGTTGATGCCTAGCCAGAAGAAGGAACCAAGAATTGGCTCCTGTTAGCCTAGATGAACATTTCCACGGCAGAGCAAGACAGGGGAGAAAAGAAGAAGGAATTCTGTCACTAGTTCCTTGGAGCAGAGGAGGGACTCCTCCATCCGACTCTCTGGTGCTTTCGCTGTCTGGTGGAGCGGGGCTGTGATGATGCTTGGCTTGAGCGTCACCTCCAAATTCATCCACCTCTGCTGGTAGCGTGTATGCAGAGAAATAAAATGCCTCAGTGATGGCCATCATCTCTAACAGGGAGTGACAGCCAGTCCCCCAACTGTGCTCCTGTTCTCAGACGACTAACAAAGCTGGCCATTGACTTAGAGCAAGCTCCTTCGCTGAGCTCTGTCAGGAATAAATTTAGTCTTGAGTTTTACACCCTCCTTTCCTATTCTTAGAAGCCAGAGGGCTGTATGGAAACAATTAGCCCTGTGAATAGAGAGGTCAAAGGAAACATAATTCTCTATCCAGAGACACAGACGAGGGGAGCCATGAGAAGGACACCGAGTCAGTGGAGGAACGTTTCACCCTGTCCTCTGGTCACAGTGCAGCCTGTCAGACCAGAAGGCTCCCACCACATGGAATGTGGGTGTTCCCACCATGGGGTCAAGAGGTAGGAGGTGGAGGGGGTGTCAGAGGTATGTGTGTGGGGGGGAGCTCGGGAGAGAAGAAAAATCTAATCAGATACACATGGGGCCACTCCTCTGGCTGTGGAATGTGGGTCATACTCAGGTGTTTGTGGCAGAGGGGCAAGAGAGACAGGAGATGGACACAATGCCAAGGTGTGGGCAGCTGTCGTGAGTGCCCCGGGGAAAACTGGGTCTTATATCGGAGGTGCCAGCATGATCTGAGGAGACCAGCGATAGGCAGAACCCAGGCTCAGAGAAGAAGGACGGGGCTAGGGAAGGGGCGAGAGACTAGCACGCTGGAGGGCTCAGCTCCATACTCTTACGTCTAAGTAGGGCAACGTGGGCGCTTCCAGTGCCACTGATGAGTGCGGAGGGCACTCTCGGAGGCAGCCAAGTGGGTTTTCAGTGGTTCTGAGACTGGGCCGACAGGGATAAGCTATAGGATGGAGGAAATCCCTACTGAACTGAGTGCTAACTCCTGGGGGCGGACCCGCAAGGGACAGGACCCGCCACTCATTGGATGGACCTAGGGGCGGGGTCTGCTGTTCATTGGTCATTTCCAGCAGTGGAGGTGGAACTTGGGGGCGGGACCTGATCCACAGTTAGCAGGGCCCAAGAGCCCCAAGGGCAAGGCTCAGGGCAGGGCCTGGCATCCTTATTAGGCTGAGGGTGTGACCTGATTCTTAACAGGCACCCTAAAACCTGGGCTGAGGTCCACCTCCTTATAAAGAGAGGTCCTGTCTTCAGTTCTCCCTTCTCTGCTCCCGAAGACTATGGCTGGCAGGAGTAATAGCCTTTAGACCAGAGAGTACCCAACCAGGGAGACGACAAATACATTTCCCTCAAAGATCCATCTAGTCAAGGCTATGGCTTTTCCAGTAGTCATGTATGTGAGAGTTGGACTATAAAGAAAGCTGAGCGCTGAAGAATTGATGCTTTTGGACTGTGGTATTAGAGTAGACTCTTGAGAGTCCCTTGGACTGCAAGGAGATCCAACCAGTCCATCCTAAAGGAGATCAGTCCTGAGTGTTCACTGGAAGGACTGATGTTGAAGCTGAAACTCCAATACTTTGGCCACCTCATGTGAAGAGTTGACTCATTTGAAAAGACCCTGATGCTGGGAAAGATTGAGGGCAGGAGGAGAAGGGGATGACAGAGGATGAGCTGGTTGGATGGCATCACCGACTCAATGGACATGGGTTTGGGTAAACTCCAGGGGTTGGTGATGGACTGGGAGGCCTGGTGTGCTGCAGTCCATGGGGTTGCAAAGAGTCGGACACGGCTGAGCGACTGAACCGAACTGAACTCTGAGAAGTCAGTCCCCGTATGGGGACTGGCAAACTCTTCACCCATCCTTTATTTTCAGGAGAGGTGCCAGACTTTCCTGAGAATGAACAAATCCTGACCCCTGGGGTTCAACATTTTAAAGGTCAGAGCTCTTTTCTAGGTCCTGGGACACTGTTTTACACAAACAGAAAGCAGGAGCCGAGGCAGCCCATCTGGTCTCCAGGTGTGTTCTCCATCCATTTAAGCATCTCTGAAAACTAATCAAACTGATCACATGGACCACAGCCTTGTCTAACTCAATGAAACTATGAGCCATGATGTGTAGGGCCACCTAAGACGGACGGGTCATGGAGGAGAGTTCTGACAAAACGTGGTCCACTGGAGAAGGGAATGGCAAACTACTTCAGTATTCTTGCCTTGAGAACCCCATGAACAGTATGAAAAGGGAAAAAGATGGGACACTGAAAGATGAACTCCCCAGGTTGGTAGGTGCCCAATATGCTACTGGAGATCAGTGGAGAAATAACTCCAGAAAGAATGAAGAGATGGAGCCAAAACAAAAACAACACCCAGTTGTGGATGTGACTAGTGATGGAAGTAAAGTCTGATGCTGTAAAGAGCAATATTGCATAGGAACCTGGAATGTTAGATCCATGAATCAAGGTAAATTAGAAGAAGTCAAACAGGAGATGGCAAGAGTGAACGCTGACTTTCTAGGAATCAGTGAACTAAAATGGACTGGAATGGGCAAATTTAGTTCAGATGACCATTATACCTACTACCGTGGGCAAGAATCCCTTAGAAGAAAGGAGTAGCCCTCATAGTCAACAAAAGAGTCAGAAATGCACTACTTGGATGCCATCTCAAAAATGACAGAATGATCTCTATTCGTTTCCAAGGCAAACCATTCAATATCACAGTAATCCCAGTCTATGCCCCAACCACTAATCCTGAAGAAGCTGAAATTGAATGGTTCTATGAGGACCTACAAGACCTGCTAGAACTAACACCCCAAAAAGATGTCCTTTTCATCATAGGGGACTGGAATGCAAAAGTAGGAAGTCAAGAGATACCTGGAGTAACAGGCAAGTTTGGTCTTGGAGTACAAAATGAAGCAGGGCAAAGGCTAACAGAGTTTTCCCAAGAGAATGCACTGGTCATAGCAAACACTTCCAACAACACAAGAAGAACCTCTACACATGGACATCACCAGATAATCAATAGCAAAATCAAACTGATTCTATTTGCAGCTGAAGATGGAGGAGGTCTATACAGGCAGTCAAAACAAGACCAGGAACTGACTGGCTCAGATCATGAACTCTTTACTGCAAAATTCAGACTTAAATTGAAGAAAGTAGGGAAAACCACTAGACCATTCAGGTATGACCTAAATCA